TTTTTATATATATATTTATATTAACCTACTTATATTAACCTACTACTATAACCTATACTAACATTATTTTTACTATAATCTATATTAACTTAATTTTTAAAGTATTTATATTAACTTAGTTTTTACTATAATTTATATTAACTTAATATTAATATTCTTATATAGATAAAAAGTATTTATATTAACCTACTACTATAATTTATATTAACTTTCTAGTTTTACTCTATATAGGCTAGAAAGTATTTATATTAACTTAATATAAATAACTCTAATATATATAGAAGCTTAGTAATATACTAGAGCGTAGACTCTTCTAGTTACTTAAAATACTTCTATTCTTTATCTTTATAAGTATAATTATACTCTAGGTAGTAGATAATTACCTATATAGTAGCTTTTTAGGCTAGTAATAGGCTACTATTAGTATTATCTTTAACACTATAGTAAAGCGAATTTAGAGAAGAGAAGAGTCTAGCGCTAAGCACTTTACTAGTATAGAAGTAGGTATAGATACAAGTAGAAGTATTACTAAAGGTAAAAACTAAGCCTAAAGTAGTTATAGAGAGGCTAGTCTTAAGGTTATAGCTTACTAAAGAAGTAGATAGCCTCTAGAGTATACCTCTAGGTTCTAGTAGCGTAGTAGAAGTATTTATAGAGCTAACCTAGTTACTATACTAGCTATATAGCTAGTTATAATCTAAAACGCTATTAGACTATCTAGCTAGAGACTACCTAGCTAGTAATAAAAACCTAGTAGAGAGTAACGTAGGCTCTTCTAGCTCTTCTAGCTCTTCTAGCTCTTTTAGCTCTTCTAGCTCTTCTAGCTCTTCTAGCTCTTCTAGCTCTTCTAGCTCTCTTAGAAGTAGGTATTTATTAATATATAGACTACTATAGCTATCTATACTATTAGTACTTATATTACTATTAGCTCTTCTAGAGATACTATTCTAGTAGCTTCTAATAGTAATAGCTTATAAATATATCTAGTAGCTACGTCTACTCTAGATAATTAGTAAGCTAATTAACGTTAATATTACCTACTCTATTAAAATTATTAGGCGCTAGGCTTTACGCCTTATTAACACTACTTACGTTATTCTTTTCTTTAGTTTCTACTTTACTCTTACTATCTATACTATAGCTAGCTTCTATAGTAGCTCTAGGTATATACTTCTACTAAATACTTTATACTACTATTTTATTTCTATCTTCTTTACTATATTATCTCTTAATCTTAATAGATCTACTATACTATATTTAGTTATTATACACTTTCTACGCCGTCTATAGTATAGTAATATTAGGCTTAGAAGATACTATTTAGAATTCTAGTTAGGTTTTAAGCACATCTACTTAGAGGTTAGTAAGAAGACCTATAGTAGAGGTAGTCTTTTTTTCTAAGAAAAGTAGTCTAGAAGCTAATATTTATACTTTTAGCTTACGTATATACTACTAATACTAACGCCTCTCTTCTCTTCTCTTTACGTTATTATACTTACCTTCTTTAAACGCTTACCTTACTCTACGCTAACTTAGCCTTCTTTCTTTAAGCGTCTATATTATATTTCTAAGAGTAACTAGATTAGTAAGGCTTTTAGAGTAGTATCTTAATAACTTACTACTATAATACTAGTGCTAAGGTAACGCTTTTACGCGTAGTATAGATAAGGCTAGAAAGTAGAGCTTATATAGAATAGGTATAGAAAAGCTACTATAAAGAAAGAGTAAGAAGAAGAAAGACGTACTACTATAGTAGTTACTAGACGTAAGGTAATAGTTATAGTAGTAGTAGAATATTAGAGAAAAATAGCTATACTACTATTACTAGTAGTAGTAAGTAGCAGAATATTAGAAAAAAATAGCTATACTACTACTACTAGTAGTAGTAAGTAGTAGAATATTAGAAAAAAATAGCTACGCGTAGTAGCTAATAGTAGAATATTAAAAAAAAATAGCTATACTACTACTACTAGTAATTCTACTACTTAAATTACTAGTAGTAGTAGCGTAGCTATTTTTTTCTAATATTCTACTACTTACTACTACTAGTAGTAGTAGCGTAGCTATTTTTCTTTAATATTCTACTAGAGTAGCTACGCGTAGTAGCTAGTAGTAGAATATTAGAAAAAAACTCTAATAAAGTATAGCGCTATTTACTAGCCTAGAGAGATGTTAGAAAAAACTTAATTTAGGTATAGTACGCTTTACTTAATCTCGCTTATCTAATATCTATAATATTAAACTACTACCTAGACCTAACCTTAAGCTACTAATACTATAATCTAATACTAGAAAGATACTAAAAATAGAGCTATAGACGTACTTAGCTATAAAGCTAACTATACTATAGTAACTAAAGAAGAATATAAGACTATACTTTATACTAGACTAGATAGAACTCTAGAATATAATAGTCTATAAATTAGCTAGGTTATAGAAATCTAGAACTAGTAGAATAATAAACTAAAGCTACCTAATAAATAAAAGAAAAGAGAAGTACTAGAAACTCTATAGATAGAATTTATTAAGAAATTTTATAGTATAATAATATATAAGTACTAGAGAATTAAACATACTTTTAAGAGAATAAGATAAGAATATAGGTTCTCTATAATAAAAAAAAAAGTTACTAGAATAGTATAAGAATATATAGAATACTAATAAATGTGAGGGCTGGGTCCGCGGTCTCCACTGCTGTGAGCGCCCCTGGAACACCTAGCTGGGTAAGTCGGCTGCAGGCAGCACTGTCTCCACGAGCTGTAAGGATAAGGGGTGCTAGCAGGGTAGGTTGGGTCAAATTCAGCTATCCAAAGGTGAGGAGTAGAAGGCTGCTCCGAGAGGCTCTATATACAGAGGTGCCGAGCGCCAAGGCGCTAGGCTAGGTCACGTGGTAAGATCACGTGACCCGAGGTCATGTGACCTGAGGTAAATCCCAAACCAGACCGTCACATCACCCCCCCTCACAGGGAGAGCTCGTCCCCGA